TGTTTTAAAAGTTATATCATATTTTGAGATATTTTTCTTTCTTTTTTCCAATTTATCTATTATATTTTGTATATCTTTTATGATTATTGATCTTACAATTCCTTTAGCAAAATTTTCTAATAAGTTTTTTTTTGAAACATTTTAATATTTCTTGTGATGCATATAATTGTTCTTGATATCCTATCTTATCAATTTCTTTTTCAAATTTAATTTCTTTTTTATTTTTAACAACCTTTTTTATATTATATGGTCCTCTCTTATATTTGGGTTTTTCTATTTTATAATTATTCATTAATAATTCTCACAAATTTTTAGAAAAATTACTTGTTAGATTTTTTAAGGACTTAAATAGAAGATTTTTATTAGATAAAGGGTTGTTTTTTAATATTTGTTAAAGGGTGTTTTAGGTAGTTCAAAATGTTTATAAAAGTCAAAGGTCATTTTGGAAAATCCTTCTTTTATTTGGGTCAATTTCATGTATTTCCCCCTACTATGGCATCTTACGAGTCAACTTGTTTTAATACCAACTCATGTACCGTTTGAATTGACTAGAGGTGGACGCGGGTTGATTTGGTTTTAAAGAGATTTGAATCGAACCAAAATTTTCAGGTATCTAGTAAATAGAACCATCGGATCCAAATATAATTATGGAACCATTCGAGTTCGGTTCCGTTCGGTTCAATTCGGTTCGATTTGGTTCGGTTCTGTATTATGATTAAATTTTTTAACATTTATAACAATATTATATAAATACAACTAATGACACATTCAATGGTTTTGGAATGTCAGAAACTAGTAAACTATCTTGTTCAAATGATTGCTACGGCCAAAGCTTCGGTCGGCGGAGGTCACAACGTCGGCCGACGATTGTATATGTTTTGGAATGTCAGCGAGGCTGCGAGAGTGAGTGTGAGAGTCGAGACAGCGTTATGGACTTTAGTGTAGGTGTTTAGGACTATTTAGTGGATTAGATCTTGTTGGGTTAAGAAATGAAATAATAAAATGGGTAATTGGGCCAAAAATTAAAAAATTAAAAATGAAACAAATTATTAGGCCAAAAATTTGGATTTAGAAATTGTTAATTTGTTTAGAAAAAATAAAAATAAAAATAAAAATAATTTGATTTATTTAATATAAAAAAATTAGAAAGATTCAGTTCTTATTCGATTCTTCGGTTCTTGGTCTAGAACCGAGAACCGAACCGTACCCATTGGTTCTCAATTTAGATACCCGTTCGGGTATTTAATTTGACAAGAACCGTCGGGTTCGATTCAGTTTGGTTCGGAAGATTTGCTCAGCCCTAGAATCGACTAACATCAGATCTCTTGAGACTTTATCTGATCCATGAATGTGATGAACAAAGTTTTATGACTGAGTAAACAAACTCGATCTTATCGGGTGCAGACAACAAAGTCGCACGAGAGGGAACAAAACTGTGAAGCTCATGTTCCGTTTTATTGTTTGACATTAAGTTTACACATTTAGTTCCAAAAAATCTTTATAAAGAATAATATTTGAATATACATTAAAATTTAGCAGCCTAATTTTTAAAGTTTGACTCAAGTTTGAAAATCGCAAATCCAAATATTCGACTTGTGTCTAACCTTATACAAACGTTTTTACCCCCAAAAAAGAAAAATGAGGCATAATATAATAAACAAGAGGATATTAGGCCCGTGATCCCATAGAGACAATGTTAAATTATTACAAGATAAAGAACAAAACCATTTATGTTGAATTATAATTATAAACAAGCAAGGAACAAGGAAAGATTCAATCCTGAAAGCTCTACAGTCAATATTGACTATATGCTGCTTCTCTCAAGAATTCAAAGAAGGAACAATAAAAAAATAAGGTGGAAAGAAAATTTGCTTCTTTAATGCCTCAACGGTCCTAATTAATCATATGCATATTTGACAAGATCCATTAATGTGGGCCATTATGAGAGATGATTTAAGATCATAAAAGTATCACAGTGAGATGTCCGATGGATTTGATTGAATGACTAGTTAGAGATTGTGATTAACTAGTCCCTATTTTTATCTATTTCAAAAATTTATCAAGTATTTTGCAACTTTATTTCCAACCTATAATAAAAGAGGTTTTCCACATAATTCCATTGAACAGGAAATTCGATGAGATTCAACCATCAACAAAATCCTGACTCCTCTATTTTCCATTTATATGTTACATGCACACTTGAACATCACATTAGACTTCAAAAGACCGTAGCTCCGAAGGGGTATGAAAATTGTGTGCACTTTGATGCTAAAGTCGGACGAAGAAAAAGTATATTTGGGTGTGGGAAGACAAAATGGACGGAAATACGAGTATTATTTTGAAGAGAGAATTATCCGATTGCAGTTGAAGATTAATAATGAGATTGAGATTTTTCATTACCTTTGGATGTCATTATGTGACTATTTATAGACAAGAGAGATGAGTCGAGGTTCATGGGATGCGTGAAACTTGGACTCATCCCAACAGCTCACTGTGTCAATTTATAACCATCATAGAGCTTGTGGCCCCCTTGACTGAATATAGGATGAAAAGTTATTTAACAGGTGCCGTTGACTGCAAAGTTATCACATCAATCACTTTGGCAGCGTACTTTGTGCAACTTAGCTGAGACAAGGCTTGTAGTATGTGTCCATCATCTTGGATATGCATTGTATTAGAAAAGTGGGGCATAACCTCAGATAAAAACTTTTCTAAATGAGACACCTAAAAGCACGACCTAATTACCTCAAATAACAACTATCTCAGGCGAGGTGCCTAAAGGGATGGCCTATTCACCTTGAAAAAGGCCTACAAAGGGACGATACATAGGGGACTGTTGATCTTGATCTGTCTTTCTACTTATTTGACGTGTCTTTCTACTTATTTGACTATCATGTGACGTGCTTCATAGGCACATACATAATAGATACTATTTAGTATTCAATATTACTATTCACATGTGATGTGCCTCGTAAGCACGACGATGTTTTGATCTACTTTCCTTTTTTTTTTTTTTTTTATATTATAAATCTTGACTATTATGTGCGATGGAAAATGAGTTCAATATTTTATTTTTTTATATATAAATTGATATGTTGAAGAAATTGAAGAACCAAAATCCCCATCTCCTCTCATTTCCCGTCGTTTGGGCATCATTATTGTGAAAAAAATGTATTCTTCTATCACATCACATTGCACACCATTTGAAAGTTAGTCCAAATGACGTAATACATATATGGTCAACTTCCGATCTTACTCCTATTTAGAAATGTGAGCATGTATTGTTCCAACACAGAAGCCATGCATTTTTTACTTTTCCAAGTTCACTTAGACGGACCGTTGTCAATTTGGCGTCAGATATTAGGAATAAAGAAAAATCTTGTCATGTGCAATGGTTAAAAATTGGAATTTTACTATTTATACACTGGGAGATGAAAATGAGCTCCAAATATCAAAGTAACGTAGGACAATTCTATTAGAAATAAAATTCGAACTATTTATTATAGTATGATTTTGTTCCATGTTTAAATTAGGATTTTTCTTTCCTTTTAATTCTTGGGTTTTTTATTTAATATTCTACTTATTTTATATTTTTAGTTTTCTTTCTTTTTTCGATATTGTTTCCTTGCACCTTTGGGATTAAGAGTTAAGTTCTTCCTTTGCTTATATAAGAAGGGGTTGGCATCCTTTGTGATAATCAATTCAAAAGTATGCTCATTGTTTTAACTAATAGTTGTCTATATCAACCCACTTCGAGACGCTCACTTTTTACTTTTTAGTGTTCTTATACTCCTTCAAAAGTACTTGGAGTATGTTCTTTACCGTATCAACTCACACTTTTTACCAACATTGAAACCAAGTGCAAAAGTATTATCAGCTAATCTGATTGATAAAATTGTACCCTTCAAAATTCTCCATAATAAAAAATACCCTCATTTATGTCATGTTGTTATTAAACACATGATGCATGATCCATGTGATGAATTGAATCCCAATACTTTCGCATGCAAAAGAAAAGATTATGTAGTGCATGTTTGACAACCATTATTCGTAAACTATTTTTTGTATACATTCATTTTTAATCACATGTTCACACAATAAAATATTTTGTATGAAAATCCAAAACTTTCTCCTGTTTTTTAATCACACATTCTTCTAAAAATTACTATTGAAATCATTGTTTTCCAAATAATGATTGCCAAACAGGTGCGTAATAATCATTTCCTAGGTGAATATAAACCCGAAACTTCATTTGGTGAAAATCATGATCAAGGATACTTGAGATTTTTTGCTTATATAAGTTTTTTCAGTACTTCATGTTTCTTACCCTAAATTTACATGTCACGCCAATAAAGAAAAAAAAAATGTTAAAGTTAGAGGACCTTGGTTGGATAATAAGTTGGTTTTCCCTTCGATCCTTATTTACCATCGAAATTCTATTGTCATATTAATTAATGTAGATATCTGCCCAAGTATAGAAGTTATAAAATATTTGTATAAATATGTTTACAAATGACATGAACGAATAAGTCTCATGATAAAATACACATGAAAATATTGATGAGATCAAAATATTTAAATCTGCTCGATGGATTTCTCCTCCAGAACTAGAAGCAATGGGAAGAATTTAAGAATTTACTTTGTATGAGTTACATCCATCATTTATTTCATTGCTGCTGCATTTAGAAAATAATCAAATGGTTGCATATAAAAAATCATACGATATAGCCAGAGTTATTAGTAGGGATTATTTGCCAAAAATAAAAAATAAAAAATTGCTTACTGAATTTTTTTGACTATATCTTACAAATAAAAAAGCCAAAAAACTTATGGTCGATGCACAAAAGAGTGAATCTGTTGCTATTCCAATTCGGCGAGCTCTCTTCCTACCACATGGTTGGAACATGAAGCCCTCTAAAATTCAAAGCAGGTTAATAAAATGAAATTCCCGGCAGGCAGTCTGGAGTCATAATTTAGACATTCTACTTTAGTTGCATACTAAAATTCTCCCAACAGCAACACCCACATGTTTCTTTTGCATCCTAAATTTGACCAGTTAAACATATTATAATTTTCCAAAATTCTATTTATATATATATATATAATCTCTTTTCAGTTTTCATCACAAACCATAATTCTTCCTATCATCTGTTGAATCAATCTCTACGCCTTTAATTTTCCAGTTTGTTCCATCGAGAACTATTTCACAAGCTACTATGTTTCTCTCAAATCCGGCTCTAATATTGTACGCAATTGCGATATTGTTTACAACTTTCAGATTGATATCAAGAACCTGTTTAATCCATTGCCTGAAGAAATGGGGGCGAAGTTTGGAAGATAAGTGCTACGTGTATCAGTCTTACAAAGTGCCAAAATTCAATGGAAATATGCAGGAGAATCAACTTCACAGACAAGTATATACATACCTGAATTCATTGCCGTGTGTTGAAGATTCTGACTTCGCCAACCTCTTTTCAGGTAATAAATCTACAGAAATCAATATAATTCTGGACGAGAATCAAGTTATTGTCGACAATTTCCTCGGTGCTAGAGTTTACTGGATCAACGAAAAGTGCGAAAGAACTGGCTTACAATCGCTAATTCTGAAGATCAGGAAGAAAGACAAGCGTAGAATTTTGGTTCCATATATGCAGCATATTCACACGGTGTTTGATGAGATTGAGCAGAAGAAAAAGGAGGTGAGATTGTTTGTGAACGCAGAGAGCGAACTCCAGAGAAATGAACGATGGAGATCAGTTCCATTCACTCATCCAGCAACAATGGAGACAGTTGTAATGGACGCAGATCTCAAAACCAAAATCAAATCCGATATGGAAACCTTTTTGAAGTCCAAGCAGTATTATCAGCGCTTGGGTCGGGTCTGGAAGAGAAGCTATTTGTTATACGGACCCGCCGGTACCGGAAAATCTACTTTTATAGCTGCAATGGCGAAGTTTTTGTCCTACGATATTTATGAAATTGATTTGAACAAAGTCGCAAACTATTCGAATCTGAAGAATCTCTTGCTACAAACTTCAAACAAATCATTGATCGTAATCGAAGATCTGGATCAATATTTGGGCAAAACTTCAGCGGCTGTGAACTTATCAGGGATTCTAAACTTCATGGATGGAATTTCTTCAGAAGAACGGATTATGGTTTTCACAATGAGCGGTGAAGAAAACATCGATCAAAATATTCTCCGGCCGGGAAGAATCGATGTTCATATACATTTTCCTCTCTGCGATTTTTCTGCATTCAAAACTTTAGCCAGTAGTCATTTAGGGTTGAAAGACCACAAACTATTCTCTCAGGTTGAAGAAATTTTTCAAATCGGAGCGAGTTTGAGTCCGGCCGAGATCGGTGAAATCATGATATCGAACCGGAGCTCCCCGAGCCGGGCTCTAAAAACCGTTATTTCTGCTTTGCAGAGCAATGTAGCGAGTCGGGTCACAAGGAAGCTGAGCGGAAGCGGGTCGGGTCGGGAGATAGAGGAGTTATACGAGTCAGGGAAGGAAAGTCAAAACGGGTCGGTTCAACCCATGAAAGAGTTGAAAAATTTGTATGGATTTTTAAGGAAAAGTGGTAGAAAGTCTTCCGTGGATCTGTTGGATGTGGGTGAAAGGGATAATTCAAATCACGGGAATTGACCGGACCCGAATTTATTTGGTCAAACTTGTTCAAAAAGTCCAACATTTGTTAATTTCTCGGGGGCGCCCCCCAAAATTGAAGTCCTTTATGGCAATATTTTAATTTTTTTATACGAATTTGTTAGTGGGGCAGACTTGTAAAAGCTTACATATTTAGAACAATACCCTTTTCTAGATTACAAATTTAGAACAATACCCTTTTCTAGAATACTTTTGTATATGTGATTTTATTCTTATACAAAAATGAATGAACTATTCCTTTTATTATTACTTAAGATTTGCACTCGTTCGTATTTTAATGGAAAATGTAGTAATATTTTCGTACATTTCCGAGTTTCCTTGTTTCCCTCGTCGCAGTGCACCATTGTGGACCATAATTATTAAGCATATGTTCGAATTTGATTATTAGTAATTTCTAAGATTTTTTTTGGAAATTAGTGGTGAGAATCATAATTTATATGAATAATAAAAATTAATAATTTTCAATCATACTTTTTATTGAACTCATAATTTTATTTATTTATTTATTTTTTTAACTATACATTATTTAAAAAATTCATTTTTCTTTTAAAAAATTTATCTCGAACAAGCTCTAAAGATTTGTGCCAAATAGGGGGAAAGTTGGGCACTAATCAAATGAATATCTACCTCATCTCTGTAGTGGAAAGAATAGCTCCAAATCCTAACCCAATGGAGGAAAAACCACCCCAATAGAGTTTGGGATTAACTTTACAGAACAAGAAAATATAGAAAGAGTAATGATTGGAAGAACTAGTGTTTAACGCTATAACATGGCATTTGATGGAGGATCAATAAAATATATCTTAGAGCACTTTCAAAAAATTCTTTAAATACAAAATACTTTTTATTTTAGAAAGTTAATATTTTAAAATACTCGAAAGACTCTATATTCTAATTTTTCAAAATAGTTGGTTTGACTATCAAAATTTGGAAAGCCAAACTCGCTCTCCATTTTTATTTTATAATAGATGCTTTTAACCCTTTTTGGCTAAAATAAAAATAAAAATTTTAATAGATTTTGATAAAATTTAATGAAATATGTGGTTGAAAAGTTGGTACAAGTTGTGGGTTCTATTAAAATATGTAATTGAAATCGAGTTTTAAGAAAAATAGTGATCTAACACAGACTTAATAAGTTACAAATTTCAATTCTATATTTCTTAAAAATTCTATTTAAATTGATTGGTCATTGAAATATAAAAAAACATGTTAAATAAAAGATCATAAGATCAATGATTGTTACTTGAAAAAGGCAAAATAAAGCGCATTGTCGAACTGTATAAAAAAATTTACTATCTAAATTTGAAAATGATCTCTATAATACGTAAGATGCTATGTATAAATAAAGATTCTCTTGCGAATACTCTCATATATTTACCACCAGTGCTAGTGACGGAGCCAGAATAATTATTATTATTATTATTTTTTGGTGGGCAACAATTATATAGCAAAAATAATTATAAGTAATATTATTACAATTATTCTGACCTATTTTTATATTTTGAAAACATTGTATAATATCATCATTATCAATTTCGTTTAATATATTTTCTCAATAGATAAAATACTACTTTGTTCTATTACCAAATCCTTTCAAGCAATTGTTAACTAAAACCTTCCAAGAAGTACATAGAGATTGCACACAGATTAAAGATGAAAATTGAATTCTCAATTTCCTTTGCTTTGGCTCTGCTGCTACTTACAACTACGCCAAAAAAA